CAATAGCTTGAAAGAAAGCAGAGACATGTTTTATCCAGGCAAGAAAAATAAAATATAAAAAGGCTCGCCATATTTTTTGGACAATTTAGGCAATTGTGTAAGCACAAACTGTAAAGCGGCATTGATTTTCTGATCATTAAGAAATTAAAATATTTCTGTGATTATAAGTCGAAAGGGAATTTAGCCTAATTTACATTTCAGAAATTTTTTTTTATTTACTTTTTTTTTTTTTTTACTTTTATCAACTTACGCAGCAGATACGGATCGTTATTATTCTACTCGGGTGCGTTTTGTGACGAAACATGGCGGTTTTATGTCGGTGCATGTCGCTTCTTGTGAAACGCAAGGGGAAGCGAGCGTGTCGGGAACACGTCCTATGTGATGTGCATGATAACCGACCTCTTAACCGCCTGGGTGGAAAAGTATAGGGTAACCAAACAAGAATGTCGTACCACCGAAGCCTTGCGTTTGCGTAAGCAAAATAGTTGACGCACCCAAACGGCCTCCAGGGCTACGGGTGATTTCTCTAAGCTACTATTACCAAATTGATAATAGTAGCCTATTTTTTTTTCAACTGGGCGGTCATTTGCACACCGCGATTTCTTTGTGACAAACGACTCATGTCGCAAGTCGCGCGGCCTATCATTAGTTACACTTTACCTTACTACATAAGTTTACATCTTTTCCCCGTACCGCTGACACCGAAACACGCCAAGATGTGAGAAAATATGACTCGAACGTGATTTGAAATTACATTCCCTGACCGCCGGTACAGTGGACACTAATGATTAGATTAATGGCTTATTGCTTTTGTTAGAAGTTTTTGATTTTCATGTTTTATAAGCTGATTCTATTTGGCACTTCTTTTATAAATTGATTGTATACATTGATTGATTATTCTTATAAATAAGGTGAGGTTATAAAAGAGCGTGAAGAACGATGTATCATACTCGGTACCCTTACAGCACTCCGTACAAACTAAACTATTCACAGATATGAACATATGTACTTTGGCACTGTTAAGCGGTGCACGTGATCCTGCAACGCCTTTTATAGATTTGTGGGTATCCTCGTCACATCATTCACAATAATGTGCCGTACTGCAGCGTGCATGGCGAAGTTGGCAACGCGCATGGCTGGCGGATGACGGAATTGGTTTCAAATTTTACTCTGCCTCGAGCTTTCTTTTATGTCATTGTATTTTCTCTAGAATTTTGACCTCAATCTCGGTTGTAATCTAGTGCTCCGCTTTGGAAGTTTCCTAAACATACCGCTTCAATAAGGCCGGCGTTAATGCCCCACCTCGGACAGTCATCCTTCCTTCACCTAGTTGGGATGGTCGACAATTTCTCTATTTGTTAGTAGGCACAAGCTCGACCTCATGCAACATCAATTTTCAGTTTTACTTTTATCTTGCGTTTATGCGTGAGAGTGTAGGCTCTTACCTTCAAGAACAACGTACATTTAAACGACTGAGCGTTCAGAGAAAGACACTTGTGGCGGTGACTTGGACAGAAGAATATGACTCAGTAACCATATATATCATGCGAACGAGACGGCAGTGGCTCTGCTATTTAGCTGCTCATAATCACTTTGTGTGTTTTTCGAACGTCTTATTGTGACTGGCCTCGCCTCCTTATGAGAATTATGACAGGCGAATAATATAGCTTAACAAGCATGTATGACATCAAGGGGTTTCACGTGAAAAAAATGTTGAGCAAAATACTCGTTTAACTAAGGTTACATTGAGTCTTGAGCGATGCATGTGTTATTAAGGTATTTAAACTGACCGCTGGCTTATTCGGCTCTTATACGATTGTATGTAACCATTTATAGGTGTCACAAGATAAAACATTATGATCAGGTTATGAAGCAAACATTACAAAAAATATTGCACATTCAAAATGGGGAATAGTTTAATCCGAATATACAAATAATCAAGTATTTTAACTAAGCTTACGACCGCAGTCTATATACCTTTCCAGCGGCAGGCGCGAACCAGGCGATTTACAGCGCGTATCCTTGGTTTTGGGAGCGTACGTCAATGCTGCCTGACTGCGGTGAGCTGTGGGTTTTCTCGTCAGTAGGCTTTGGCAACCTCCACGGGCGCAAGCTTTTGTTTTTGTTTTTTTTTGTAATTGTTTCTGCGTGTGTCTGTGGCGAACGAAATTTTGCAGTGACTTTCAGAAATAATTTAACCATCCCTGGGAACATATACAAAAAAAAAAAACACGAAAGGGTAATTTTAGAGAGTACGTGCTCAACAAGAGGAATGCAACTGGAATATTTGTTTTATTTCACGCTAAAATTGCGTGCCGCCAGATAGTAAGCCGTGCCGATCCAGAAAGTTATTAACAGTAGTAAATATTTCATCGCACAAGACGGCCCAAAAGGCATGATGATTCCACGCTCATAGCTTAAAATTTAACAAATGTCAACAATCGAGCAACATACTGTACGTGCCACACGGCGCGGACTTATCCGAAAAGTGTTTGTTAGAAAAATACAGTGTCCCCCACAGTCTCTTCACGACTATCGGAGGGAATCCGGATTTGATTTAGCGCAAGTTTTGGAGATAGACCGTTTTTTTTGCGCAGCCCCCAAGGAAAGAACTGAAAGTTTCCAGAATGCCCCTTGCGCCGCATAAGATAAGCATTTTTCGCGAATACCGCGAAGGTTTCTCGGATATTTTCTCACCGGAGAACATCCTTGAAGAATATCAAACGGTCGCGTCACGGGCCGTTCCCCAACGTCCGCTCTCTTTCGTTTTCCGCAAAGGCCGAGCCAGCTACGTGTACTGGTACTTCGTGCTTCTTACAGCAAAATATCACAGAAAAAATGTATGCGCCCTGGCTCAAAAAAATAACTAGAAACGTTAAAAACAAATAACGGCGAACTTTGAACGTACAATGCTGGCAGAGAGTCGCCCTGACCGGGTTCCCAGAGCCCAGGAGGGAGACAGAAGTTTCTGGCTGATGGCTTTCGCGAGAGTCGCTAAACAGCGCCGGCCGGAGAGATCCTTGTGGAAAGTTCCATTGACCACCGTTATAGAGCATGAGTCACGTGGCTTGATGTCTATTAGCATGATCAAAACTGAAATATAACGCTTCAAGTTCTAAAACAGAATATATTAATCACAACGTAAGGACAGAAAAAAATATTAATCGGGAGCGAAAAAAAAAGGTCACGTTCAGAAGCAAAACAATAAATTCGAAAGCTCAGCGTCCAAAGAAAACAAAAGTATTGTCCCCAGCCTTCCAGCTATCGAACAGCAAGAGACCGTTCAGACACCTCCACCGTAGAAAATACGAAAAAAAAGAAAAGAAAAAGTTTCGCTTACGCTTGGGAATAAAAATGAAGGCACCGGGTGCCGCCATTCCCATTAAAACGCCACCAATCACTCAGCAACGTAATGAATTAAAACGGCTGCCGTCCAATGTCGGTTACTGTCGATGCCCGCTCTCTCCCTCTGTCTCGGTGCCCTTCACCCCTTTGCTTTCCCCCTCGCCGCCTCCGTGCGTTGTCGTCGTTACCGGACCTGGCTCATTTGGTCACCATCGCTTCATCCATAATTCACGACCGGCAAAACTATACAGTACGTACGGAGCGGCTCGCTCACGCGATCCGCAGAACACAAACAAACGACTGGGGGAAAAGGGCGCAATACTCCCCCGAAACGAAATAACGACATGTATGAGCGGCAGTTGGACCGAAGCAGGTTCGGGGGCCATGAACGGCCCTCCCGAACGACGGTCCGTATACGTTCACTCGCTCGTCCCGCGGTGGCGGCGGCGGCGGTGGCCCGTCGGCCGTCATTATCCGTAATGCAGCCGGAGGGCCCATTCCGCCCGGGCATAGCCGACCAAAAAACCCGCAGCCTTTAATACGCGGGAGCACCTCCCCTTTCAACTTCTATTCTGACCACGCAACCGTCTCTCCAGAGAGTAGAGGGAGAGGGAACCTTATGACGGGGAAAGGGGGAACAAAAAGAGAGAGGGGTGCAGTTATGAACCCCGCCGAAATGCACACACCCGAGTAGAAAACGGCGGCCCTATCTTCCTCCGTTTTAATGTCTGTATTTTTGTTTTCTTGACGGGATTCATTGTTAAGATTTCTTTCTCGCTCTTTTTTTCTATTATTAAATTGGTTTTTCTTTCCCTTTTTTTGATATCGGCTTTTGTTTCACACAGTTTGTGTGGGGGTTCTTGCAGCTTGAGAGCGGTACACACGGTGCAGCGGGAGCGCCCCGCGCTCGCGGAAGGGAAACTCGGTTTTTCGTTGTTCTTCTGATGGCCCGGAAAAAAAGGCCGGCGGCATGGCGAGAGCAGAGGAGGGGAGGGAGAGGTTGCGCGAATCGCTGCGCCAGCCTGGAGAGGAAATGGATCGAAATGGAGAAATGTCCGGGTGGTTCGTCGCGCCTTTCCTTTCTACTTCCCTTCGAAAAAAAGAATGGCGGCAAAGTGGGTCATGCGCACCAGTCGCGGTTTTCGCGACAAAAGCGGGCATCCGAGTCGTCCTCCGCTCTCGTTTCTGGTGCAGGACGCCCCGTTTCTTAGGGTCATTATCTACTTTGGAAAGGCCGGAAGTGCGTATCAATCTCTAAGACTCAGTGAAAAATAGAATGTGAACCTATACGACTCGAGCACCATTGTTAAGGCAAATACGTTTCGATCGATTATTTTCTACTGTCAATGAAGTAATTAGCTTTAATTTCAGTTGAAAATGCACAAACTGTGTCGGCGAGGTCAGCACTATCAAGCAGTGTTAACTAGAAGTCGATAGGTTTCACCACACCTAAATAGAAAGTGTGTTCGAATCTTTACATTAAACTACTTATGCATTACAATCAAAAGGGTGGAGACGCAAAACAAGCATCCACCCCTTTTTGTAAAACCTATCCGCTTAAATAGGCGCCGAACCCGCGAAATATACAATAAAACAAATTTCCCATTTGGTTAGAAGGTACCTAAATATTTTTATTGCTTTGTTTTTTCTTCCAGAATACTACATGGACACCGGAAGTCTGAACAGCCTCACTCCTTTCCTCCTTTGTTCTTGTGTCCTGTTTGCCTCGGTGCGGCGGTAGACAGTCCACACTGTGGCAAAAAAAGGTAAGCAGCACCGTGAGGCGGAAGCGCGCACGTTAAAGGTGCCCTGCAAGCACTTTTTTACTGGTTTTTAATTTGCACCAAACCTGAGCGCACTGACCGTAGTAACGTAATGTAACTTTTCTGTTCTCGAATTTCGCTTTATCTTAAAAGTGATAGGTTAATTAAAATTACAAAAACAAGCAAAAAATAACCTCCCTCATGACGTCCTTTGTTGTTTGATAGTGGCCTTCAACTAGAGGAGGGATTGTCAGCTCAGCGAGCGCTCACGACTGCCGCACTGCGTGTCGACGGCGCGAGAGGGCGCCACTAAAGCGTGTTCTGTATAGGCTGTATACAGCGGGCAGCCAGAGCGGCTCTCATTGCATTTGCTGCGCGATTAAACACTAATTCGGCATGACACTTCATTGGCCACAAACGACAGCAAACACGGGGTAAAGATCAGTTCAGAATGGGAGCCACTTCACGCTGCCGTACCGCGAAATGGCCAAAACGCAAGACAAAGCTACTCACTGAAGGCCTTCGGAACGCTCGGAGCCGGTCGGTTCCTCCAGTCCGTAAACTGCCGCAGCGCCGCCGCGTACGTCCGGGATCTTTCCGTGTCGGCGCCTGATCCCACTACTCTTTTCTAGTATGCGCCGCCTTTTCCATCGCTTGGTGGCGGGTATGTCGACGGGTTATTTCTTGTTTCCGTACGTTATAAACTGCATTTGTTTCTTTTTTGATCTAAAATACTGAACAAAAACTACTTTTCTAAATAATTGAAACGGTTCGCGCCACTTATGTTTTGTATTTCGACTAAAAAGAAGCTTCTAGCGGCTCTGACCAGTAGTAAGCCCAGGACCAAAAACGTAACATTTCGCGCGCTTTTGGTACCGTGGGTCGCCCCCGCCGGTGGAGGAGGTTTCCGCGTCGCCCGGTGAAAATATGATGCACTGATATTTAGTTACTCTCTCCGTGCCCACTGGCTTTCCCGAACCCCAAGAGATGTGGAAACCGCAAAAAGGTAGACGCTTAAATATGATTGCAGGGCCCCTTTAAGGTTACTTTCTCCGTGCATTTCGTAGGACTGTCGAGTGTATGTCAGAATATGTCACCAGGTGTTTTATATAAGGCATAGTCGAAAAGTGCAAGCTCTTACTTCGAATGCGGTCTTGTATGCAGAAACAGACGCACCAAGTTTACCTAAAAACGTCCGTAAAATTATCTCGTCGTTTTCTCCGAGCGGTATTTTTCTAATCTTATTGTAAGTGTTGGAAATATGGTTTTACGGTTAACGGTTTCACGGTTAAAAAGAAGGGGGTGGGGAGGGTGATGTTCCCTGTTCCCCTGTTCCCTATCCTCCCGCCCCCCCCCCCCCTTAAAAAAAGCAACAACAGCAACACAACAAGTATTTCAGAATTGTTTCAGCTTCAAATGTGCCACTAATTCCCATGGACAGTTTGACATTTTGCGTGTGCAATCTGCCGTTTTTTTTTTTTATTTTACTACAGACATGTATTTTTTTTTTCTGGAAGATGAATTAAAATCAATCGTTAAGTTATTAATTAATCTTTAAAACTAAGGAACCATGTATTGTACTCCAAAACTACCTGTCGACTTATGTTCGTTTAATCTATGGACGAGGTATATAAATCAGAGGGGAGTTGCATGATTAGCAAAACGTAGACTACCGCGGAAGGGTACTCATACTGCTAGCCCTAAGATTTATATATTGTAAATAATATATTGTTTCGGCATATCCTAAAGGTTCACCATAATATACAAACCTCGTTTTCTAATTACGCAATTGGCGAAGCAATATTGTAAATTGCTAATTAGCTGATATTAAGAAAGCTGTCAGTTCGTCAAAGATTTCCAAGTCTTAAGTACATGTTGCCTTTTGTTATTAAAAACCGAAAATCGTGCATTTGTAGGAGTAACATTTATAATTCAGAGTAATTATACCTGACAACGAACGAGTCAAAATTATAACTTTAGTGAACAACATAACTTAAACAAATGACCCTGGTGTATTTATTGCTTTTCTAGTAATATGTTAATAAATGAAATTAGACGCATCACCGAAAAACCTTATTCCTGATGTTTGGTTATGATATTAATATTAACGGTAGAGGCCTTAAGCACCGTGGAATGTGTAGCCGAAACCTAAGTTCACAAGTGCAATTTAGAGTTAGGCAATGTCTCGTTTAATAGTTATGACATATAAACAACATTTTAATAGAGAAAATAAATTATTTGATCAGCTTCAACTAAAACGCCTATTAACACCGCAGCTTGGGCTAGTTGGTTTTCTATAATTTGTACTTCACAGTGCATAAACGTATCACAAGCAAGCACTCACTCAAGCACAGAGAGAAAAACAGCACTGTGTGTATGTTTTTCTGCCTGTGCTTGAGTGAGTGCTTGCTTGCGAGACGTTTATGCGCTGCGAAGTACAAATTAAAACACCTAGTTTTTTTTTTCGTGATTGCGTTGGTGTTTAGTTTAGCAGAACTTGTCTATGCATTTATCATTTTTGCAATTTATAATTTTTTGTGCATGACTCTGCAACATATGTTTTATGAACTATATAATTTATTTTTTATTTTGGATATACCAACAAATTTACTCTTCCGTTCAAAAAGAAAAAAATTACGTCCTGAAAATTTTAGGTCTTAATGCTAATAGTTTTTTTACTTCAGACAATGGAGGTGAGTTAAGTTAGCAAACTTTATATTTGTCATAAATATGTGCACGTTTCACAGTCCTCGAATGAAAAAAAAAGTGTTCTAAAAGAGAGGCTATATATTGTTTATATTTTAGAAGAAATTCATGAGTGCTGCTACATAGCAAAGAGGCACATTTTTTTAAAGCGTCTTTATTTCGGCGTGAATGCCGTTTTTACTATAGGTTTCTTGAACTCGGCGGACATTCGAGGGGCGAACAACCTTCACAGACTAGTGAATGATAAACTAAAATTTGTAATTAACTTTTAAAATTTGTAATTTACTTTAAAAATCCCAAGAAACTTTCAAACATATAAAAGAAAAAGTGAAAATATAGATGTGGTTCTAATTATAAACTTCCGCAACGTAATTTAGAGCAACTAAATCAGTAATTTTCAAAAGGACTTTGAGAACGTGAGAATTGCAGCAGTGCGCAAACGTTACTATTCGTGCAGAGGTACAAAGCTGCAGGTACAATAAGGCGCGAGCGCGATTTTTCCGCGCACGCCTTATCAGAGACTCAGCATTGTACATGCTCCACGAGTGGTAACTATAACGCACTACTCCACTTCTAAGGTGCTCAAAGTCTTTCTGAAAGTTGCTCATTTAGGGAATTTAAATGACGCTTAGCAAGTTTCTCATTGGTACCATATGTCCATTTTCATTTATTCTTTTTCCATGTGTTTGAAAGTTTATTGGGATTTTAATTGCAAATTGCAAATTTCAAAGTTAATTACAAATTTTTAGTCAGCTACTCCCCCTACTGTGATGGTTGCTCGACCCTCAAATGTTCGCCCACCTCAAGAAACATAAAATGAAGACGCCTTTCACGCAGCCGCACAGACGCATGTTTAAGAAATGAAAGCCGTTTGCAACTCCCCGTAACGCCGAATTAGAGTGCAGCTCTTGAGAAGAAGGAGGGAAGGGTACTGAGGGTCACGTGTTCTCGGGGGGGGGGGGGGGGGGACGTTTACCTTGGGGGGGTCACGTCACCTCCAGGTCATGTGACCCCCCAGTAAAATTTTTCCGCTAGATTTAGTGGGGAAATTTCTCCATAGATTTATCGGGGAAATTTTTCCACCTGATTTAGCGGGGACTTTTTCAGCTAGATTCAGCGGGGAAATTACTCCGCTAGATATAGAGAGAAATTTTTCCGCTACATTTAGCGGGGAAATTTTTCTACTAGATTTAGCGGGGAAATTTTTTCTGCTAGATTTAGCGGGGAAGCTTTTCCGCTGGATTTAGTGGGGAATTTTTTGCGCTAAATCTAGCAGGGAAATTTCTCTGCTAAATTTAGAGGGGAATTTTTTTCGCCAGAGGGAAATTTTTTCGCTAGATTTAGCGGGGAAGTTTTTCCGCTAGATTTAACGGGCCATTTTTTCCCCAAATCTAGCAGGGAAATTTCTCCGCTAAATTTAGCGGGGAAAATATTTTCGCTAGATTTTGCGGGGCAATTTTTCCGCTAGATTTAGCGGGGAATATTTTCCACTAGATTTAGCGGGGATATTTTTCCGCTAAATTTAGCGGCGAAATTTACCCATAATGCACCGTGCAGTTACGCCGACGGCGACACCGCTCAAGCCGGGAACGGGCGCCTAAGAGCTGCGGTCTAAAATCTTATATTGAATAAAAGAGAACACTTTGTATATATGCATTATTAGCGCTTTGCCATTTCTGGGTGTTAATGTTTTCGTAACGTCTGAACACATGGTTCTAGTGGTCGTTGTCACTGTGCACCAGGCAACTTGATCTCGAAGTCCTGTTAGCATTCATTCGTAAAAGTAGATTGACATCTGAGCGATGACGATAGATTCCCAGCCGCATATTTGGCGCTCTAGAATGTAACAAATTGGTCAGCACCGTCACATCGGCCGCTATCGAATAAATATTCTGAAATGTTTCTTACTAAAGGAAAACAAACTTACATAACCATTTCACACTCAACGCGAAATATGAGAGTAGCAAGTATTTAATCGCAATAAATTGCCAATGCATGCTGACTGTATTTGTCTTACACTCCTGGCCTAATGTGATCTGCTAGAGTTTATTCAAACATTTATATATAAAAGCACAGCCGTTGAATAATTACTAATTTACAAACTAAAGACCACTCCAATAACCTTTTCCTAATTCTCATTGTTATCTTGTCTTCTTTTCTTTTAGCAGACGCTTCCAAGAGGAATAACTGGTCTCGAGAGCACACAATAGAAAGATGGTCCGGCCTAAGCCGAAGGTTGATGAACACGGAGACCCTTCTTCCCCGAAACCCA